GTGTATTTTGTGATCCTCTCCAAATTTGATATATCACCTCTATCTCAAAATTACTATCGGAAGATAGTTCAGTTTTACTTATAACCCTTCACTAGCTATCTACCATGAATTACACACTCTGCTAGGTATTAGAGATGAAAAATTAAGGATGAAAGTTTTCTCTCTTTTTTCCTTGAGATGCTAGGAATCAAATCCAGTGCCTCACGCATATTTGGCAAGTCCTCTACCTCTGAGCAATACCTCAGCACTCTTAAAAGAGTTTTCTTAATCATTCTTTTCTCACAGTATTCTAGACACGGGCAATATAAAAGATTACATCTTTCATGTCATGCTGAGATTGAAAGTACTGCATTATGGCAGAGTGATGGATCAACCTTCTCATGAGAACTCTTCTACGGTAACACCTAAATCTGAATAATGAGCTATTCGATGGCTGAGTCAAGAACAAACCAAAGGCAGCCAAAGTAATGAAGAAACTATTACCAGAAGCTGTCTCTGCTTCCTGAGGGTAAATACAATGGCCTGGCAACTGAATAGCGTTGCTATACTAGGTAAGTTTACGTTCTTTGAAATGATCTTTTACTGAAGAGTTCCTAATATAACAGCAAGAATAAAGTACCATTTTTCATCTTGTCCTATATATCATTTTTAGGTTCTATTTGCCCTCACTAACATCTTAGAAATCCTGGCTCTCTATTCTATTTCATTCACATCCTCACATCAGAATAGCCAACCTAATCTTCTTAAATCCTAATGTCAGTTTAAAACTACCAACTTATCCCATTCATTTCTTAGAAATATTAGATCATTTTTATTTTTATTTTTTGTTTACTTTTTTGTCTTTTTGAGACAGGGTCTCACTATGCAGTTCAGGCTGGTCTTGAGCTCACTTTGTAGCCCATGCTGGTCTTGAACTTGCAACGATCCTCCTGCCTCAGCCTCCCAAGTGCTGGGATTACAGGCATGCACCACCATGCCTGGCTCTATATCACTTTTAAATAAAAAATTAACAACAATTTTGTAATTATTTTGAACAATTCAAGGATTATAAATTGACATATTTAAAAGAATAAACTGTGTATTCACAAAAATTCTCCATCTTTGATAATAAATGGTGGCTAAGATATGGAAAAAGTAAACCCTAGTATACTCTTGGTGAGATAATTATGCCACCCTGCCTCCTCAATGGGTAGAATACTGAGACTTTTAACAATAAACACCTTCCTGCATATTCTTCTAAAATATATTCACAGACTGAAGTCGTTTCACCCCAGCATGTACACCTGAATATTTCAAATGGAAAACAAAGAAAAGGTGCTTATGAATACTATGAAAATAGCTATCTTTACACAATACAAAAAAAGCAAAGCAGAAGATTTCTGAAGAAACAATGGAGGCTTGTCCAAACAAAAAGCCCTGCTTTTCAAACTCACTGTAGGCCCTATGTAAAGCAAACTACTGAATGAACCAGTGCTTATCTTGTAAGTCTAAGTGGAAAGATGGCAGAGCAAGTTGGCTACAAGGACTAGGAGGTTGGCTGCCTGAGATCTAATCCTGGCTCTCCTACTAATGTTTAAGTGAGTTAATCTCTGTGCCTCAGTTTTTTCAGTTTACAGTAAGGACCATAATATAGTATAATTACACTTACTTCAAATGTCAATAGAAAGTACTAAATTAGTGGCAGAATTTTAATTATTAAGTCACAGCACCTAAAGATTGAGTGCAAAGTCAATTTTCAACAAATGCTGTCATGTACTAAGATTAGAATGTATCGACACTTTTACTGATGTAATGTATAAGGTGCACCTAAAACACACTAACAAAAACTAAATAGTACCTGAGGTGTGTAGCAGAAGGAAACAGATAAAACAGAATGGCAGAATGTTAATCACTTGCAGCTGTGTTATAGGTACACAGAGACCCATTCATCATTCTCTCCACCTTCACATATGGTGAAAATTTCAAAAGTAGAGATTCTCAGGAATAACTACGCATAAGGGGGATGAGACCATACAGCTGTCTAACAGTTTTGTGAAAAAATAATTTAGCGACACATACCTAGTATTTCTCTGATTCTGGCAATGACAGAAAAATAACGCCTATTATACACCTTAAACATGGATGCATAACATCAGATAAGACAAAGATTTACACAAATATCACTGCACAGTATTTTGATATATGCATAACCTTTGATAGTCTCCATCTAAAAAAAAAGTTATGAATTGAATTACAGAGTATCTCACAAGCAGCTAGAGGCACAGCCCTGATCATCAGTACTAAAAGCTGTGAGATAGTAAATTTACTTTCTTGGCCTTTTATGTACATCTGCTTGCTCAGTTTCTGCCCTGTTACAAAGAGGAGTGAGGAACACGCACATGGGCTTTCTTGATAATTAGAAAGACAAATCTACTATTGCTAAAGAGCCACACTCTGCAGTCTAGCTTGAAAAGGGAAAGAGCTAAAGATGAGGAGGAGCAGTTTATCGTCCTCATATTTAAAACACAATCGCCATCATTTTGTAGTTGCCACTTGCTGAAAAAGGATCACAGTGTCTTTCACATTTCTTCCTTTGCTCATTCGGTACAGAAAAGAAGACTGTGTGTACAGTGGGGGTAAGCATGCATTCTACCGAGCTACATTCCTAGCCCCCAAGATGCTATTTTACCAGAATTAATACTAATAAATGCAAGCTGCTATTTATCCTTTGATTAAAAATATACTGGTAGGTGCCAGGGAGACAGGTCAGTGGCACAGAGCCTACCGGGCAAACAAGATCCTGAGCTCAATTCCCAGTACCAATAAATAAATAAATGAATAAAATTATACTGGTAAAGTTGAAAAACTACAAGAAATATTAATCCCAAACTCCCTCAGTTCTGTATCAGTCATAAATATATCTTAGGTCTTCTAACTAATAAAATGACTTACAATTATGTGGAAAGAAAAAACTTACTCATTAATCTTAATAGAAACATTGTAACTATCTTTAAATGACGTCTTAAATATGTTCAAGGGTTTTTTTGTACAGATATTAAACCATAAGGTACTACATTTTAAGACATACAGGTTGGTTGGACAGATTAGTTTGAAAAAGCATTATAAAATAAATTTTTGAAGTAACTATTTCTGCAAAGAGCTCATTTACAACATACCACAAGCACACCAATGCAACTGTCCTGTGCTTGAACTACAAAGCTGTATCAGAAGTAACTGATTATGATCAAGTCTATAGATGAACACAGAGAAAAGGGACTGGGAATTAATTTCTCTGTGCCAACAATTTCTGTCAACAAACATTCTCCTCACCAAGTCACTGAAAATTAAATATATACATAAAAAACACTTTAAATGCTTTCCTTAAAAACTGGATACTACAATAACCTCTAGCACTAAACTTTATATAGAATGAATGTGAACGTAACCATTGTACAAACATGTTTCTAGAGAAATCAATGGGAATTAAGGCTTCTATCAAATAAAATGGACAAAATAAGAGAATGTTACTGTAACCTTTTTCTATTTCTTCTTCAAAATAAGAGCAAATACAGTCCCATTTTATAGAAATAAAAATAACAAGCTAAAAACATAAATGGACATGGCCTTCCGTAAGATTAGAATTTCCAAAAGAAATATCTTTCTGTAATTTTACTATCAATGATATTTTTGTTTATTCTTAAAAATAATCTCTTTGACATACAGGCTCTTGTATGTCAATAGTAATGGCACAAGCAATTGAGTTTCCTCAGAACCACCACAGTGATGACATACTTAGCTATACATCACAAAAAGTAGAAAAAAAAACTTTACTAAATCAGAGAATTGCATATATAATGGCAACTACAATACTAGACTGTATCAATAATTTAACATAAAATTACAACCACAAACCAGTATCTGACAAATTAACACAATTTATCTATGAACAATGAGTTGGTACTTTTTAATAATAACCATAGTTACAGTCAAACAGTTACTGTGTGTCAGGCAATATGCCAAAGAGATCTATATGCATGCCTTAACTATAACTTATCATACTATAGCCATATTTATGTGATTGTGAAACTGAGGTTTCCAACTGGTTAGACATAATTCACCCCAAAGCTGAAAGTACTGTTTAAATGTTCAGTGAGAACTCTGAATCAATCCAAGTAAAGCGAGGACTGTGACTCACCCTGTGCTCTTAATCAAAATATTATCCTTCTACATTATGGGATAAGATTCTAAAAACATTTTAACATTTTATATAATCATTATTAAATTTTTCAGTATTCAGAGAGAGCAATACTAATCAGTTTTAAGAGTGGAAGTTAAGTTTTAATGGGATAACCATCAAAAATTTGGTATAAGAAGCCTCCTATTAATGATTCTGAAAATTACTGCTAAGTTTCAAATGTAAGGCGCTATTGTTAAGCACAGAGCTAAAGAAATCTAGTTGCATAAGCTGTATTTCAAATAAAGCCCTTCTTATTAGGACATAAAACAATTATAAAATCAATCATGATTGATTACTCTGAAGAGGAGATATTAAGTTTCAGGGGATCAACTAAATCCACTCTGCCTTACATTTACCCGAAGTACAAGGGCTAGAGTCACACAAAAAAATACATATAACCTTTAGTCTTTAGTCTAAATGCTATCTGCTAAAGAAAATATTACTGATATAAATACTTAGTTCCGTCAAGAGTTCCGTCAATATTACCTACATATCAACAACTTCTAATTCCATATTAGAATTGGCATACGTATGGTCATAATTCAAAAGCTAGGAAACTATGTAAGAATACTTCTCACCAATGAGAACTGTGAAAAAATTCTCAGTACCACAGTTCAAACATGCCTAATTCAATCTAATTTAAAATCTTATTATGGTACAGTGGATTTTTACTAAAAGACAAATGTCTTGAGTCTGTATTATGCAGCTAGTAAAGACAAGAAAACTTACTAGTTATTGTCAAATTTTAAAATAATTTTAAACCAAGCCTTAAAAGCGCACCTACCTTATGATATCCATTGCCTGGTAAAGTATTTCAGATTGATCAACACCAAGAACTTTCCTTGCCCCAGCTTTAGCAGCAAACATAGACAGAATTCCAGTTCCACAACCAACATCCAAAACTACCTGGGTAAGTGAAAAAACAGACGTTATCATAAAAGTCTTCTACTTCAAATTCTACTCAAATATTAGTGCTACTGGCTAAGACTATAATAAAAAATTTTAAATTTGTTAATCAAATATAATTTATACTTGTGGAAACTGAAGTATTATTACTAGGTGTTCAAATTAGTAACAGTGTAGTTGAGCCCAACAGTTCTAAATTTAAGAGATGTTTTATACGAAACAAGTAATTTCTATGAACTTCCTAATAGGGAATTAATGTTTTTAATAACTTTGTTGTTGCTCTAATTTAGGCTAAGTAATTCTAAATTTTAACAGAAATTAAACTTCAGTTTAAGTGGGAAGAATCATATAAAATCATCTGATGTAATTTTAAAATATTTATAAAGGAACCAAGGATTAGAAAATAATCATATCCCCTCCATCCTCAAAGATAAATACCTGACTCATTTTAACAGTACAAGTACAATAAAAATAAGATAGCCTTACTAGATACTAAAATCCAGAAACAGACTCAAATGTACACAGAAATTTTAGGGATGCAAAGAGCACATACCACAGTGCGCACTCATCACACATTATTTCATCCTCATTTTCCAAATGAGGAAAGTGAGCTTCAGAGGGGAAAGAAACACATCCAGGGTCATATCGCTGGTAAATTACAGAGTTAGTACTCGAGTACATGCTAGTCTGCTTCTAAAGCCTGTATTTTAATAATTTTTAATTACACTTTTATTATTACATGTAGCTCAGAATTCACTGACTACAGCCAGGTAAATAAAACTTTATAGTGTCAAAGAATAGGCAGAAATAACAAAATAAACTATCATTGTATAAAATGACACTGATTTAGTCTTTGCTACAAAAAAGAAAAACAAGTGAATCAATTATAACTGTAGATAATAATCAGAAGCATAAAGACGCCTAACTGAGAATTTCAATGGACTACAAACAAATTAATTATGAGTGGGTGTTAAGATTAAATGTCACCTAAAGTTAATCTAAGACACCATATGGCCTCCACAGGAATTGAAACAGTATTATGGAAGAAAGGAAGAAAAGGCAGCAAGGAAGGAGGGATGGAGGGAAAAGCGAGGAAAACATTTTTTAATTATAAGCACTCTTGAAAAATAAATCTCTACTACATACTATATAATGTGATACAGAACCTGGTGTTGTAATGAGACGTCTGTTTACCTCACAGCGATAAATGCAAAGAGAAAAAATGGTAACACAATTTATAAAGAAATTTTACTATTTCACAGGTTTTTTCAAGTAATTTTATAACTATATCCTGTTAATAGCAAACAAACCATATGACCTACATATATAAAAACTAGTGTGAATTAATATTTAATGAGTGGGCCCCACCCCAGTCACTTTCTCACTGGAAGTAAACACACTGGTAGTCAGTGTGTGGTAACACAGAGTCAGTGACACTAACCAAGGCAAAAAGCCTCAGGTTTCTTTTGTTCAGTTGTGTGCTTTGATGACATCAATTAATCTACTGGTTTAAACTTTAAAATCACCCACATGTAAAACAGATAAATACTTCCCAGTTGTATCATACAATCACAATGAGACAGTTCAGAAATAATCTTATTTAATGTTACTTAAACATATAGCAGTGTATTTTCTAAATCTATAGCTTTGTATAATAGCCTCCCAAACAATTTGGATATATGAAAGCTACTGATTAACACTGTTAATTACCGAGAATTATGTCCTAAATGTGCTTTCATGAAGTTAAGAACTGTTATATGTAATTTTTATATTACAGTATATTTTGAGAAACCACAGATGCCAAGAAAAATCCATTACACACTGAAAAAATGAAATGTAAGCCTCTTCGGCAAGTACCAATGCAAGAGCTCTCAGCTCACCAACACGCCCTTCTGCACTTTGGCAGATCCCATTTCTTAAGAACAGAAGTGCACAGAACAAAGTGAAATGAATATACACTGTTTTCCATGGTAACCTGAAAATGTATAACAATGGAATATTTTTATAATGCTACTATAATACACCAGAAACAAGCTAAGTCTGCAAAGATCTAGGTTTACAGTAAAAACTACTCCATATTTATAGAAATATGCACAAGTAGTTTCTTGATGATTCTATCATCCAGTTTCAGAGTATATCTGAAGTAGCTCCTTCAGTATTTTCATCTCTACTGTAAGTCTATTCTAAGCATACTGAAGGGAAAAAAACTTTTAATTTCCTATGGCATTAGTATCATAAAGTATTAAGAGGAGATGGCTCAAAGACGACAATGAAGTTGCTTTACAGTAATGAAAGTCATAGCATTTTAGAGTAAGAAGGAATTTTTTAAATCTTTACAGATAGGCCCAAAGAGATTCCCTCCCGTCACTTGTCCAAAAATTTTACAGCTGACTCCTAACAAGCAAGATGAGTGATTCCCACACCAGGACTCATTTTCTACCCAATTTATTAAGGAAAGATTTTAAAAACCTTAAAAAATGCTTTGTCTACATTGCATTAACATATAGAGAGTATCATGCTATCAATTTAAAATACTTCTCTCTGATTAAAGTTGGAAGTCAAACACTGCTCTTAGGAAAGAAGTACACAAAATGAGAAGCCAATTCAGATTAATCCCAAACAATACAAAAATTAGGAAAAGCAGATCTGTAAGCAAAGGGCCTCACTCATTTCTGCAGCAGTATATAAAGTCATGCAATGACCTTGGAGAATGAGCCTTTAAGATGGAGGTGGAAGAAGCATTGTAAAAATCTGGCACATTCTCAATCTACAAATCCCTGAAGGGACTTCTCAAACAAAAGCATATAAAATGGCAGAAATCATAATTCTTGTCTAGATTGGTGCACTAATTTCTACTAAGAAGGGACAAGCAAAAAACCTGAACTTTTATAATTATGGCTACGAAGAGAGGCAGGGAAAGAGAAACAAATGCAAGGAAGAAGAAAGAAGAAAGAATGAAAACAACTTGTAAGGGAAGAACAAATAAATTCTGAGCACAAATATACCCAGAGTACACTGTCGTCTTTGAAATAAAGCAGTATTAAAATTAACTGTAAAATATCACACATCTCTCAAAGGAGTAAATTAATAAGCCATAAGAAAGCATATAAAATACATTCTACCTTATAATATTTAACCCCACTCATTAGCTTCCTAGAATTATTAACTACTTAATACAAACTAGAATAATTAAAGTGTGGTTTGATATGGAATATATCTGATACATCTGAAATTCACAGGATTAGTATAAATCTGAAATGTGATTTAGGCAAAATTATCTGGATAAGCAAAGTTCAAACTATGTCACCATAATTAATGACTTTCAATTTAAAAAGAGACACTAAATGGCAGCACCAATCAGCATTTCTGTTATCAGTATCCTGCACCACAGAGCAGCGTCGTAAAAGTCTTCCTTGAAATAAAGCCGGGGTCTACCAAGTCAACTGTAACCACAACAGGGACGGAACGGTGTGAGATGTACAGTTCTGCAACTTGGCCACTCACCTTGTCTTTGAAGATATGTGGATTTTGGTATATGAAATCTCTGTAGCTTTCTGTTCGTACTTTGTCCTAGGGTGAAGAAAAGAAAATACCACGTTTGCAGGACAGTCTACACAAGTTAAAAATTTTTAGATAGATGTTTGCTATGTTATCACACATTGCTAGTTTCTACAATCTACAAGTTACTTTTTGCCTAAAAAACTAAGCTTATGTATATACTTTTTTCCAAAACAAATGACAGAAATAGTAACAACACACAAAGAAAACATTTATTTTTTTAAAAATCACTGGAAGTTGAACATGACCTGCTTGTGTCCTTTAAAAATGTACACATTTTTCTTTTTATATGCACTTTCCTTATGACTTCAAGTGATAATTAAAGCTAATAGAAAAGGTTTTCCTCCTTCACATAAAGCCTGGGATGTAAGAGCAAGATGCCTTGAACAACAGCTACATGAAAATAAGGGGAAAAGAAATAAAACAGATCAATGTATAAGCTGCAGGTACACATGAAAAATTAAGCCATGCTGAAGATGTTTTCCTAAGACAGTTCTTATCAGCATCTGCCTGATTTACAATTCTGTTTCCAGAAATTTTTGTAGTGGGAAATGATGCTTAAAAACCTTTAAGCCTAAAAGTAAATCACCTGAACCCTGCAGTCAGCCCTGAGACTCCTTCGCTCTCAAGTCTCACATGATCTGTGACCAACACCAGCGGGCAACACCCTCACATTCACGTCAGTTCATGAACAAAGCCGACTCCCTAGGCTGACACACACGGAGACTGCAAATTAGCCAGGTAAGAGCTCTGCTGCCACATAAGTAAAGCTGAGCAGGAAAAAGTAAGTATCACAAAAAGAGATTTCTAATTTAGGGTTTTGCAAAACTCAGTAAAAACAAAATATAGCTGAGCCACTGAATCTGTGGGGTTTCACTTTCCTGGATTCAACCAACCTCTGTTAGTCAATTTTTTAAAACTGCATCAGTGTTCAACATACATGCTTTCTCTGGGTCATTATTCCCTAACAAGTACAATACAACAATCATTTATGTAGTATTTACACTGAATTATACATTGTAAGTAATCTCCAAATGCTTTAAAGCATACAGCAGCATGCACGTAGGATGAAAATATAATGCCACCTTCTACATCGGACCCTGTGTATCTGCACACTCTGGTGTCCTCAACTGTAGTTACAATGAAAATATTACACAAGCATTCACTGCGAAAACATTTGTATGCCAATATTGAGATCACTTTTTAAAACATATAAAGGAGATCTTAAATTAAAAGGTAAGTTGTCCTATTTAATAGACCTAAAAAAGGGGAAATAACCATAATTAATTACAGACTTTTCTATTACTATTTCTAATTGTTTTACCCAAAAAAAAAAAAAACCCTTTAAGTCAGCCTTATTAAATCTTCCTTTTCAACTTTTAAAAAACTACTTTAGGAATTACTAGGAAAATCTAATGTTTAAATAAAGGGACTATATTAACTCAGTTTAAAATGCTCCCTTTGCAGGGCTAGGGATTTAGCTCAGCGGCAAAGCGCCTGCCTGCAAGCGCAAGGTCGTGAGTTCAATTCCTGGTACCGGAAGAAAAACAAAACAAAATAAAAATAAATAAAATGGTCCCTTTGCACAGCATACCATTTTATGCATTTGCACCGCTTTTATACTTCTTACACTGTCACCAGTGATTTTTGCTGAAACAAGCCCTGCAAAGGGCAAACATCAGTCACAAAGGTAGCCACTGGAAAGCTCTCACCCTCACCTGCGCGCACTGCTCCAACTTCATCAATAACATCTCAACTGCTGTCCCAACCACACGCGCAGCTGCCTGCCTGAACTGCAACCTTCATTCAGGCTGCTGCCGCACTGTCATCTGTTCCTGCTCAAATGCTTACCCTGGTGTAATGAAGTCCAGAACATACCCAGCAGTGCCTCCTATCAAGCAGAGCCTCAATTTAGTAATGATCTTTTGAAGAAAAAAATATTCACTGCATGTGAAAATACAAGAAATTAAAAACCAGTCTTCACAGACATTTCCAAAAAATTACTCTAACAAAAAACCAACATAAATACAAAACAGCCGAGTACTCTTTTGCACCAACCTACTAAAACCAAGAAACACCCAAGAATCAAATTAGAGCTCCAACATTTAAGAGAAAGATAATTATTTTAAGTACGTGGCTGTAATCTCAACACTCAGGAGCCTGAGGCAGAAGGATCACACATTCAAAACCAGTCTAGTCTTCGTAACAAGTTTGAGACCAGGTTGGACTACATACTGAAATTATGCCTCAAAAAGTCAAAAAATTAAGCACCAAAGATAAACAAAAAAGACAATTATTTTAAGGTGTAGTGTCATGGGATTATACCTACCAATACAATAAAGTTCAGAATGAAGCTAAACACAACAGAAAATTTATACAAAACAACAATATATTTTTAATTTAGAGGTTCATGAAGGTAGACAGCATGAGTTGGGTGGAGATACAATGAGAAGACTGCAATAAAGAAAACCATTTTAAATTAAGAAATAATATCATAATCTGTGATATATACACACCAGAGTAAACATTTCCCTTGCAAACCATTAATGGGTGATGTATTTCAACTTTACAATATTAGTCAACAGCTCTTCTTCAAAAAATAAAGCACAAGGGATTTTCAAAGTTTATATAATCTATCTCCCATCATCTCTAGAATTCAAGAGTTCTTATCCCAACTTCAAAAATAAAATCACAAAGTACTTTTATTTAAAATTATAGTCAAAAGGTGTGCTAAAGCCTATTAAACTATCTGAGACTAAATAACAAAAAAATCCAAACTGCATTCTGTAAAAGCAAAGTCCATCCAAAGTTTATCCATTTTTGAATAAACAAGCCAAAAATAAGCCCATACAATATTAAAATACTTAAAAAACTAGGTAAGACTGGTAGTAGGAAAACCTTCAACTGTTTATTTGTACTAATTGTCCTGGTAAGAAATAGAAGAAATATAGGCTGATGTAAGACGCACTTCTCAGTCATCCACAGTACCTAACTTAGCCAAATATAAAATGGATACATACTTGTTTTTGAATCAAGTTCACCCATATTTCCTGTGAACACATAATCAAGTCATCACAAAGAGGTAATGACGCTGGATAACAGCTAAGGGAAACTAAGGCATGAAGAACATTAACAGATACTTAAGTGACTGATTCTTGAAAAAGCTGGCACTGGGGCTTTGAGCTGGAACTTCTTAAATCTAAATGTACATCAAAAGGCCTAAAAAGGTACAGTCAGGTGTGAAGATCCTCCAGTTACTGACAGAGCTGTACTGAGAACAGAGATTTGTAAGTGTGCAAATGAATTTCCCTGATGACTGTGCTGACAACACCCATACTACAGGGTGTCTCAGTGACATTTACCTGTCTGAAAAGCCAACACAGGTGCCATACCGAAAGTATTCAAGTTTCATGCCATTCAAATCAAGTGGGTGATTTAAAATGAGACATGAACTTATACTAAATCCTTTAAAGAAAATATTTCAGATACAATGAACTTAAACGAAGAAAATAAACCCATTTCTTTTAAACAAACTCAGTCAATTTAAAAAAAAATTAGGGTAAGCCTGGTGGCATATGTCTGTAATCCCAGCATTTGGGAGACTGAGGCAGGAGAACTGCCATGAGTTCAAGATCAGCCTGGGCTACACAAGCAAATTCATGGCCAGCCTGCACTATACAGTGGGACCCTGTATCAAAAAAAAAAAAAAAATTTACCTCTGTCATTTGTAATGCTATGCCACTACCCAAGTGACAAACAGAAAACATAACTGTGACACATCACTGGTAATGACATCATATTGCTTTAAAAAAAACCCACATAATTACAGTCACTATTAGTCAACAAACTTCCATTCTATGATCCTGCAAAAATGACTCAACAAAATATATACACGTTTTGAAATAGCTCTGGTCACTTAAAATGCCTGTTTCAAGGAAACCTAGTCTTAGGGTTTTCATTATATAAAACACATTTGGAGGAATGATCTAAGAAGGAATTTTTGTTGACAGGCCTTAAGAAAACACTGGTGAAATCTCAAATTCACAGAGATAAATATCTAAAAATTTTGTTTATTTTTACAATCTAACATTCATTTTATGTTAGGTATTTTCAGTTTTTCTGAAAAACGAATCTATTTTATCTATAATATTTGATAAGATGTATAATTAGGAAGTACAGCTAAAAATCAATTTCTATTTCATATGGACATTATGATTATGAAAATTAAAAACAACCAGACATAATTAACTGATGACCAACTTAGAAAATATTTTTATATATCAATTATTTCACATGTAAAAAAGTCATGCCGTAACAAATATGCATTTAAAAATTTATGCCAAACCTTATATACCCAAACTAAGTCAGTAATGACATTTAAAACACATAATTTAGTTATTCCTTTTTACTATTACAGCTGGTATTGAGAAGACTAAAATCATCAGCGGTTGTTTTTCTCCAATGTTCTATTCTGAACAAAAAGTAACTTCCTAATAAAGGTTAATGATGATCTTAAATAGAATTTTTAACAACTTTGGTGCTTCTGTAAACTTTTACTGCAAGACCAGTTACTTAGTATCAGAGATTTAAAAGGCAATCTAAAAAACAGAGAAGCAGCAGCAGCTCTCACATACTACAAAAAAGCTGGTTCTATTCTATTTTTCCTTTCATATGGATTTGGTGCCTTTGTGTTCTTGTCTAACCTTTAGCATTTCTTCATGTATCCCATAATGCCCGTAGGAGCTGAAATAAACACCATCCTCATCCTCCTGGAGGTCTGCGATGGCGGTAGATGATGAGCAGGTTCTGACATCTGCATTCATCACAAAATCCTGAGCAAATTGTCTGTAATCAATTTGAAATACACCCTTGAGACAGGTTTATTGGACCATGAAAAAAGGAAAGGCTAGAGGTTCAGCAAGAGGAAAGGGGGAGGACAGAGTGGAGTATGAACAACCTTTTAAATCACACCCTTACCATTGGCAGCCAAAAGCTCCCCCTGCTGGATATTAAGCAATGGCATACCTAAACCCAGCTGTGCCCGCTGTGGCAAACTACAAAAGCAATGCCAGCCATGGATTACAGTTCTTTTTATCTCAAGTGAACAAAATAAGCACATTCCCTTTACTGAACTCAATATTTCCATTGTTCTAAAATAGTATTTAGCATATGAATCTATGTCGTACATTTCAGCTCATTTAATAGTCTTTAAAATTTTATCATCAGTCAGGAGAGTTAAATAAATAGAAAATAGACCCAAATAGGTAACTTACACACAGTAACACCACCTACTACCGGTCTAAAACTCAGAATCTTCTCTGACCATGACACACTAAATATAAGGTAGGGATACAAGAGGGAGAACACTGAAAAATTTTAATAATTTTTACAATCCAATATTTATCTTATGTGAGATATTTTTAGTTTTTCTAAATTAAAAATCTTGCTATTTTAATCCACAATACTTAATAAAATGTACAATTACCAAGTACAGCTACAGATCAACTTTTATTTTACATGGACAGAAAATGGGTAAGAGTAGAGTTGCTGTTGGTTGCTAGGCTCCCAACCATAAAAACTCAAAAACAAAAAAGGACCTAAAATTGACTGTACTGGCTTTCATGCAGGACACAACACTGGCACAGCATGTAGTGGGTGTTCAAGCAATGACAAACACTTTCTAAATCCAAAATGGAAAGCTCTGAGCATACCTATTAGAAATGCAGAGTATTTCAGGTCCTACTCCCTTCTCCTGAATCAGAACCTAGACTGCATTAACAAGAGCCCCAGGTGATCTGTATGCAGATCACATAAACTTGAGAGGCATGAAACCAGTGGAACGCTAATTTCCTTGCTGGAAAAAACTGGCCCTCCCTTGGCCTCACCCCGCCCCCATATTTGCTTTTCTAGTTAATACTACACCACTGTTGCACTTTGTTAGAAAACAAGAAAATTTCAACACTGTATTCTCCCCAACCACAAAAATAGTACTCCCTCTACTTTTAAAAAACTAGTACAGAAAAAAATGAAGAAACCAATAGCAAATAGGACAATTAAAAAGAAGCAAAGACAGTATCAAAAACAAAAATATTCAAGAAGACATCTGTCAAAACAATTAGCTTTAGTATAGAAGTAATGGATTATGAAGTACAAACAGGTAAAACTATTAAATTTTATATTAAATATACCTATGCTGTAAACCTTTAATACTACTGCCTGCATTGTAATTTCTACAATATGAAATGTTCTCTATTCTGCCTTGCCATTAGCTGTCTTATGTGAAATCTAAACAATTTTCTGTAAGATTGATACATTACTTCATTTTCTGCAGATCCTCACGTGCTCTAGCTAATGCAGCTTCAGCGGACAGCGCCCTGGCTTCCATATGCTTCAATTTTTCCACAACAGAAGTATTTTCACTGAGCCCATTGGGGTATGAGAATGAGACTGACATTGGTTCATAAAGATCTTCTACATCTAAAGAAATAAATGGACATCATTATCAGGTCATCTTTTAGTGATGAAATGAGTGTAAACACATTAGGAATATATCCCAAATGCCTATATGTGGCCAACTGAAAAACACTGGTGAAAGCACTTCTAATTAAATATTTAACATCCAAACTGTTTCATTTTTAATTCAAAGAACATGCTATTTGCTTAAGTTCTTCCTCTCACTTAAACACATGTATATACTAATTATACTGAACCGAAGAACAACAACACACAAGTGCACATGCGTCACATCTCATTCCATCCTCAAAACAATCTAATCCACCTAGCAGCCTGAGTCCTTATCTGTAGCACAGCAGGTGGTACATCAGCTATGCCTCAAGGGAAATCCTGCCATTGGTGACAACATGGGTGAACCTGGAGGACACTATGTTAAATGAAATAGACCAGAAGAGATAAGGTAAATATATATGATCTCAGCTATGTGTAGAATCTAAGAAACTCACAGAAGCAGAGTAGCATGGTGTTTGCCAAGCTAGAAACGATGCAGGTAAGCTGGTCAAATGGTATGCACTTGTTTATAAGATGGGTAAGTTCTGGGCATCTAAGGTACTGTACAGTAACTGCAGCATACTAGAAACTTGTAAGGTGATAAATGTGTTATTAGCTTGACTGCAGTAATAATTTCACAATGTATAACAAATCATAGAATTGCACACTTTAAGTGAATACAACTTTTTATGTATCAATTATGCCTTAATAAAGCTAAAGATATTCCTTAAGAACAGTTTGTAGATAAAAAGAATTCTATGCATTCAACAACTTTTTCAACCTGGGAAAGGTACACTGGAATCTTTCCACTAACATTTTACAACTGATATTATTAAATATTTAAATTTTAAGTGTTAAAAAGTTTTTAATTAATTTCACTATAAACAAATCATTAACCTGCTGTAGAAATAACTCTATTAACAGAATTCAAATATGGAGCTAGTTTACAAAATACCAAGGTCCGTTTAGAGGTGTAATTAACTTTCAGATCAAACTTAAACCAATAAACAATACAAATTATATTTTCTTCCCAATGGCACGGACAGAAAGTATTTTCTTACTCAGTTTTTAGCTGTGACACTTTTGAAGACACTTCTTCAGAGTTGGGACAAAATAACTAAGCTCAAGAAATACACAATATTACTATAACTACGAGACTAAAGCCTAAATTGAACACCTTTCCCAATACTAGTGCAGTGTGTCACTAATCTTCACTCTGACAGAACACTCACTATATTTAAAAACTAGAGATTTGCTGGGGATGGTGGTATATGCCTGTGATCCCAGCCCTTTAAAAGAGGCTGAGGCTGATGCATGAAGATCAAAAGCTTGAGTTCAGCCTGGGCAACTTACAGCAAGACCCCGTCTCAAAATAAAAAAATAGTCTGGGGTTGTAGCTCAGTGTAAATCAGCAAAAATTATTCAGTCCACTTTTAAGTTTCAGCCAACTGTCTAATAACTAAAAATTATTCTCTCAAGTCTCCTTATGTTTCAAAATATCCAATACAAAATGTTCCCAGACAAGCTCGTATGTGTAAATTCCTCCCAATAATGGTTACTGTAACTATCAGGTTTTTAAGTGAATAAATTTTTCTATTCATATCAACTACCTGGGGGTAGGGACATATCTCAGTAGCACAGCACCTGCCTGGCAAGCACAAGGTGATTTCCGGTTCCAAAAAAAAAGATCAACTCTCTAATGAGGTCTTCAGAGAGCTACAAAGCTAATTCTTCCTTAACCAGGAGGGTAGGTTCTATGACCCCCACTGAATGCCTGGTACTATGGACAGGACTGAATTAATATATACACTGGACTTTTGGATATTGCTATCCAGTAACTATAACTCATCCATAGTAAGAGATTAACAATACATAATAAAACAAACACAACTTTAATAAGTTTCATGAATGCGGTCTCACTCAAAAAGGATTACTTGAACACAAGTACTGCAGTACTGTGACAGTCAATCCTAAAACACTACTAATTAACTAAAATGCTATGATACTAATTAAGGAGCGGACAGCACACACAATGTGGATATGCTGGACAAGATACACACATCCCAGACAAGACATAGCGGGATGCCACAATATTATGTCCACTACTTAGATAGAGTATGCAATTTAAAATTCATGAACTGCTGGTTTCCAGAATTTCCATGTAGTATTCTCAGACTGCAGTGAATGTAGGTAACTGAAAACATGGAAAGTAAAACCACAGAGAAGGGGGTCAGTCTGCTTGTGTATTTTCCTGTAACATTTTACATTTATTTTGCCATACATCAGATACATTATGCTCATCTTACCAAACTGAAGTAAAAGGTCATCTTCTAACACTGGCTTCAAATACTCTTCTCTCTCCCAAGGCACTGGGTTGTATATGGAATTCATATACTCAACTGTAGGATTCTGGATGTAAAATTAATTGCATTTTATTCACTGAATGTAATCACGAATCTACCTGGTTAAAAACTAGGGAAATTATAAAAAGAAATGATGTCTATATTACACAAAATCATTATATCTCTATTTAAGGGGGCCTATATTGACTGGTCATTCTAAATGGTTTCAATGCAGAATTTTCTACAATTTAGATTCAGAAAAAGTGACAATAATAACTTATTTAAATAGTACCAAAAAAATAACAGTATTTGAAAAAACAGAGAAAAAGAAAGTATTTGCAATCATACTAGAAATTACTTCTGATTTTACAGAACTACTATCAGCATTTCTCCTTAACTGACACTGAATTACTTTTTCACAGAGTACTGATTTCATCTCTTGGTCAGAATGACACTTAACTATATGTATACCTCTACGTAGTGTTTTATGTTGCCGTGGTGCCTAATGCCCATAAGTCCTACAGTACAGTGAATGCCAAATTTAAGTTTCTCATATTGCTGTAAATAATCAGTGCAATGAGAGGCACTGTAGCATTTCTTATATTTCTAAACAAAATTATAAATTAAGCTAACAACTTACCTTAAGTCTAATAAAATTTATGAGTTTAATGTATCCATAAAATTCCAGTCCTAAAGGGAGAAAAAAATATAATTCATCTATTTTAATGTAATGTGAGTTCTGTTTAAGTGACCTGTTCTATAAAGGCTCCTCCAGTTAGATAATAAAATATTTCTAAACTCTGAACTATAATCTGTATTTTGAATTTTTCACTTTCAAGAATTAGAAATTGCAATTTTGATATTTCTAAGTATTTTATCTGAGAAACAACCATAAATAACAAATTTTTAAGTGCTTTTCTTCTATTTCTAAAGAAAAATGAACAACTAATTCTTGGAATTCACTCATTTGTCAGAATTATACAAATCTGAAAACTTAGGCCCCCAATTTTACCAAGTATTTGGCAGTTAACAGTAAAGATTAAGTTTCTAAGTCTCTAATTCTTATGCTGCCTACAAAAATATAACTTTGTCAAGACAGAATATACAAAGTCTACTAGCTTTCCCATGAAATTAAATGATTCAAATGAAAAAACAATGAGGCGTATCATATCTTTCCAGAAATAAAACTCCATTTAAGACAAAGCAAAGTACTAATATTCAGTTATTATTTGTCATGAGACTAAGTGGATGTTATTCATCATGAGAAATTGGTTATTATTGAGAAATGATGTTTTAATAACATACAAAAACTCCCCTGATAAGTGAAAAATGATATATAAAGTATGATTTCAACTCAGTTTAAAATACATCGAAAATGGGAGGGAAAATATGAGGCTGTTGTTTACATGATTTCCAAAAGTAGTTGCACTTGAATTTATTATTTACAAACGTATCACATATTTATCTGACACCCAAACATCTGTCTAGTATGTGCCATTCCTCAAAAATGTCTGTTCTATGTGCTAATAAACACAGGGACCAAAAAGCCAATTCTGTTTAGTTAATTTTAGTGGAACAGTACAACTACTATATCCATTTGAAGTAGAAAGCCTTACATATGTTTAAATCCAAGACAATAGAAACACCACCTGGATATTTTGCATACTACGTTAACTTCCTTAGTCCGATTTCCATACTTCCTAACTAAATTTACGAAACTGGGGGGGGGGGGTTTTTTTTGTTTTTTTGAGACAGGATCTCACTATGTAGCCCAGGTTGACATCAAGCTCTTGGCACTCCTCCCGCTTCAGCCCCCAAGTGCTGGGATTACAGGGGTGTGTTACCAAGCTCAGCTTATAAAACTCAGTCTTGTAGACCTCGAAGTTCATGTTATGCTCTCACTTGACTGTCTGTTTTTACAAGGACCCACCACCTCTCCCAAGGGCCATTTCTATCCCTGATCTCCCCAGTTCTAACAGAATGAAATGCACTCACATGCTAGGTTTTTTCCTCTTTTAAATTATGAGGCAATTATAAGCTTAAAAACAAGGAATTTTGCCTAGAAGAGTGACTTAATAATCTTTCCTCAAAGGCCACTCGTCAAAAACATTTCCATTAGAAAAGTCATTGCTGTATGTCTCACTATATTGCACTTGTATAAATAAGGTCCTCAAATTTTGAATTTAACTTTCCCAAGTAAATCACCTTTATTCTAGGAAAATACTCACCATGTTTATGGACCATGCTATCAATATTAAATTGATGCTCTGACTTACAGTGTGAAAATGTCTCTTCAGCAGATGTGAATAACCTGAAAAATCAAAGGACAGCTTCATTGAACAAACCCCTAAGACTAAACTTAACTTGTGAAATACACACTTTTTTCCACTCAGCTGATAGCTAGTTTTATTTCCAATTAAGTAAGAGACATACACGTAGATGAAAGACTGAAACCCAGTACTTTTTGAGAGAATTACTACTTCACATTCATAGTTAATGCTTAAATTAACTACCCTTGAAATAGCACTGAACTTAAAAAAAGGCTTTTAAGAAAAAGAGCTCCCTTTGATAGATTTTGTGTCTCAAGTCATGAGAACTCCTCCTTCAGATTCTTTCTCTTCCAGTGTCCACTCTCAGAGGTTTTGATGTAACATGGCTCAACCTGCTTTTAGAAATAAAGGAGAGACGGTAACTTTACAGCTGGCACATTCCCAAAGTGCCACATTTCCAAGGTGACCCTGACGTGTTCCCACAGGACATGCATTGCAGACACTGACAGGCTGAAGCCCCTTTCTTACATGACCTGCAAAGCTGAAGGACACCTAAGGTAAGAACACATGGCAGAGATGCTGCACACCTCCTGTATATGCCTAGTACATATGCACTCCTTTTCCAATGTTTTCCAAGACAGGTTATTTGCACTGCACCACGGAGCCTATCAGAAGGCACTGCACCATGGATGTTCCCTAAGTATTACGTGAGGGTAACTCTGCGCAAATGTTCTCCCTATTCCATGAGGCCACACAGGAGAACTGACACACCACCACCCACGCCACGCCCAATCAACAGTAGGCAGGGTGGACTCCGGTCCGGAAGGCAAGAGTGCCAAGCCAATCGGCTCTCTTGCACACCCACTTGCCCACAGCAAAGTCCTGCCTTCTTGAGACTAAATCGCAGAATTTTAAGTGGGAAGAATGAGTTTGTGAATAACAACCACAGCTTTGTGACCCTGCACAAGTTGCTGCTTCCCCCCAAAGTAAAAAATAAAAACGGTATCAATTCCTCACTGGCAACTGGGGAAGCCCTACTTAAGAGAGGTGAACTTAGACTATTGAAACGGCTCAAATGAAAATGTTACACCTGAGCAGCTCTCTACTGCTCCAAGAACGGTAACAGCAATGGTGAGAAATGTAAGGGTCCTTAGAGATTATCTAGATTAGTGTCACTCTCAAACCTGTTACTCAAACACCATTACAATCACCTCGGATAGTGTTTTTTATTGAAACTAGGATTCCAGGTGGGGTGTGGTGGCACACACCTGTAATCCCAGCGCTCGGGAGGCTGAGACAGGAGGACTGCCAAGAGTTCGAGGCCAGCCTGGATTACACCTGAGTTTAAAACCTGCCTGGAATGCAGAGAGACCGTCTCCAAAAAAAAGCAAAAATGACTCCTAGACCCCATCCTGACTTAGAAGGATTGAGGCGCACAGTTCACTGTCTACTTTTTGTGCTTTTTAAAAAATCTCAGCTGACAAGGGCGCACATCTGGTCTGGAGGCCAAGTTCCGAGGCAGCACGTCTCGCGGCGGGGGCTGGGCGGGTGGAAGCCGACGGTCGCCCGGGCTCGGCGACGCGCGCCCCCGCGACCGCGCGCTCTTCCTCACCGCGCCGCCCGGACGAACCTGTGGCAGAACAGGCAGGGGGTCTGCCGCCCGCCGCGCGCGGGGTCGGCCTCCTCCTCGTCCTC